CGGGGCGGACCTGGCACCTCGGTCCGCCCTGCCCCGCCCCAGGGGCGGCCGCTCAGCCCTGGCCGGCGCCTCCCGGCGGCGCGTCGGCGAGCAGCCTGCGGAGCCCTCGGGTGCGGGCGAGGTGCGGGGACGGAAATACGCGAAGCGCGGAATCCGGGAGGGCTGCCGAGCTACCTGACACCCGGGCTGGCCAGCCTCCATTCCGACACGCGCCACGGGCGCCACCGGCGCGGGGAGCTCTCCCAGCAAACGTGACGGCCCTCCCCCAGGGCGCTGACCCTCCCTCAGAGGCCCGCCCCTGCTCCCGGATCCCTTAATATATCCAGTTTGTTCATTTTCGTGATTTCTGGTGAGCAGTCTCTTTAGACCAGCAGGCCTCGCTAGTACTTTTGCTCCAGGAGCCTGTATTTGTGAAACAAGATTGCCCTGAGATGAACGTTCTCTCCGGGTTTTATTTTTGCACAGAATTCAGAGTGTAGACCCATGTGCATGGTTTAACTACCGCAGGCTTTTCCCTTTCTAGTTGGTGGCGCGGTTAATGCAGAAAGAAAAAAAAAATACAATTCAGATGTCTTGGGTTTTACTGGTATTCAGTGCATAGAACAGGTTCGAATTGTATTAACCGAATTCTGCACACGTACATATTTAGTCTTAATTTATAAAGTAACTCTGTTATTCTCTGAGGTCTGTTGTAAAGTACAAGTTTGAAAGAAACCACAAAAATATTCAGTTTGTCAGTGATCGCTTTTGTGAATTTAACATAACAGAAAATTTTAAGTTTCTAATCCATTTATTCTCGCCAAAAGTCAAACACTTCACGAATCCCTAACCAAAAAACATCAGGTAGATAGACTGGTACCTCCAGGTAGGCTGGTGGGATTTACCTGAAGAAATCCATTTTCCTCTCATTGAGTCAATACTTTCATTCTTTACAGGAATCTCAAAAATGACTCATAATTCCCTGTGGTTTGGGTGACTTTGGGGAAAACATGAAACATTTAATAAAAGTAATCATTGTTCACAAAGTAAGGATATATACACATCATATACATGTGTATACACACATATACATATATATAGTTCCAGGAACCCCTTCAAGAGGACAAAACAATAAAACATTTCCTGAACTTTCCCTAACTCCTGAAAACAAAATCTGATTTCAAGTCAGTCCACAAAGTCATTTTCACAGACTACTTATATTGAGACATGTATTGTCTACAACAATTTTAGGAAAGAGCCAAAGTTTGTGTCTGACTGACAGTGTCAAAGCCAGTGCACTAGTATCGGCACATACATGCCCCAAACGTTTTTATTAAAAAGCCAAAGTTTATGTGTGGCTTATAACTTACTAAAACAAGCCACACACATGTAACACACACACACACACACACACACACACACACACACGGTCACTGAAAACTACTACAAGAAAAACATTCCACCAAATAGGTCACTTCCATCGTGGAAGATCGCTAAGCTAAAACCAAGCTTAGTTCAAGTATGCATTTAATCTATCACAATGCCCAGATTTTCATAGTCTTCTGGTTTTTCAAACTCATGGTTCTTCATTTTGAATGTTGGTATGCTACATGCTTCCTTTCCTAAACTGGCTCTTTTGCCACTTCGTGTATGAAAAGGTAACATAATCTCACCTGTAATAACTACCTTAAGAAAACAACGCTCGCCCAATATGGCTGAACAACCAGTTAGCAGTTATCAACATGCAGATTCAATAGGTTTGGCTATTGAATTCTCCTGCTAAATAAAGGAGGACATTGTGATCTGTATAGTACACAGACCTACGAATGTTATGATATATACCTTTACAGTTAGTAGGTATTTAGAGGTTTCTTTTATCAGCTTCTTTAGCCTCTTGGACTCATCTGGACTGTGAAAGCAGACTACTGCACACATACCGAGTCTGTGCTAACAGATCATTTAAAGCCTCACGCTTCAACCCCACTGTAGAAATTAGGTTGTACCACTCAATTCTGGGTGTCCTGGTTTCCTTTTGTAGCACAGAAATTTAATTTCAGAATATATTCCATGGCTCACTGGATCAATTCACAGCTTAGATGTGTGTAAGAAGTCAAAGGGTAGATTCTCAAGGCCACCAGAGACTAATGTTCAAATAAATGTTATTGAAAAGAAGGCTCAGATTAGAAATCCCAATCATGAGAAAACATAGAAATGTTTCGATGACAATGAAAATCCTTTATCTTCTGGTTTTCTTCCAGGTGTTTTCTTTCAGTTCCAAGTAGCTCTACCATTGCAGTCTTCAAGTTCACTAGCTTTCAACAGCCATGCCCGTCTTGTTCTTATTTAGTAGATCAAAGGTTTTCTGAAGCATGAGGAGTGAGCTCTTCAACTGCGAACAAAATTAATTCTCAAAATCAGACTGTTTAAAATTTTCTGATTAACTTTATGCCAGAAGTTTACAATTCCATTTAATACCATTGTGTTGACACAGATGCCTAAATAAACCACCTAATTCTTAGTGCGACCACCACATGGTTCTTCCCATTTGCAGAACTTCCTCTGGTTGTTGTCTGTGCTGCTTCCCAATAGGTACGTGAATCAATAAATGTAAAGTGTAAGGCGTATTTTCTTAAATGGTTTCTGAAGTTGCAGTGGTTTCCTCAGTATCCCCTAAACAACTCAAATCTACTTCTGGGCCTTTGCTTATTACTATGCTCCTGTTCCTCTTCACCCGTCTAAGATGGATCCATACCTATTGTCTCCTTACGGTTTTCCCTAATTCCCAAAGCACTAAGTCCCTACTACTTAACACCTTGTCACTCAGCTTTGTACTTTCGTACCAGTACACATGGACATCAGATTTCTCTAATAAAACTCTTGGCAACTTGAGAGCAAGAATTATTTTCAGCATTTTTGTATTCTTTATATTCATTCATGTAGTTATTCAACACATACCTATTACTTATCTGTTACATGATAGGCACAGTGCTAAACACTGGGTTAACAATGATGGGCCCAAAGGCACTGTCCCTGCCTTTGTGGAACTTAGAGACTACTGAGGAATGAGCTACAATGAATAATCACATATATAAATATATACTTGGAAATTAATACAATCAGTAAAATATTGAGTCCTATGTAGGCCACTGGAGGATAGTAGCATCAGTTTCTGAAATGAGATCCTCCAGAGGAGAATTAAATTTTGACTTGAAGAAAGTTGAATTCTGTCATGGGTAGGATCAGTTTGGGATGCCCAGTAGTCATTTAGGTGAAGATGCCGAGTAGACCAGTGGCCGTATGAGTCTAGAGCTCAGGGAAGAGACGGGGTGAAAGGTAGATACGGGAGTTACTACAGTTTGAATGTTTGTGCCCTCTCCAAAATTCATGTTGAAACTTAATCCCCAAAGAAACTGTATTAAGAGGTGGCTTTTGGGAGGTGATTCAGCCATAAGGGATCTGCCTTCATGAATGGACTAGTAGTGCTCTTAGAAGGGGCTGGAGGAATCTAGTCCTTTAGTCCCTTCTGCCATGTGAGGACATCTATCAACAGATGGCACCATCTATAAGGAATGGCACCTTGATCTTGGACTTCCCAGGCTCCAGAACTGTGAGAAATATGAGATATTTATTGTTTATAAGTTACCTAGACCCACTGTCTCTATATAGTGTTCCCTAATCATCCTGCCTCTAAATACCCATATGTGGTTACAACTGCACAAATGGACCAAGTAAGAAGTCACTGGCACACGAGGTTATTTAACGTTAGGGGAAGAGGGAAGAGAATCTACCAAAGAACCCTAGCAGTGTATCAGCCAGGAAGGGGTCTGGTAGAAGAGATGGTTTTAACCAGCAAAAAGTAGTTTTCACCTTTTTCCAAATGAAAGAAGTCAGTTACGGGCCAGTGGGTGGCATGGAGGTTAAGGCAGCTGGATCCCACATGGCCAACTATGTGGTTCGAGTCCCAGTCCTGGTGGCTTGAAAATCATGCCAGATGTGGGTGTGCATGCCCAAAATCCCAATAGGAGAGTGGAGGAGAAGAAACTGTGATGTATTGATCAACCCCCTGGAGGGTGCTTCCTTACTTTCTTTCTGTTTTTCCCCAATGAGTGCATGTGCCTATAGCAAACTAAAAAAAAATAAAATAAGCCAGTCACAAAAGACCACACATTGTATGATTTCATCTATATGAAATGTCCGGACTAGGCAAACCCATACTAATGGGAAGTGGGTTAGTGGGGCTGGGGATTCAGCGGAGCAAGGAATGGGGAGTGACTGCTAATGGATACCTGGGTTCTTTTTCTATGATCAAAGTGCTTGGAATTAGATAGTGCTGACGGTTGCACAACCTTGTGATTATACTAGAAGTTCTTTAAAGTGTGAACTGTTAAGTGTATGAATTATGTCATAATAAACAGGCTTTTAAAAATGGTTTTGAACAAGGAAAATTAGATACATTTCAAGACAAGAATGGTCAGCTCTGTCAAATGCTGACACTAAAATGAAGACTCTAAATAGGAATGTTATTTATTTATTTATTTATTTAGAGAGGTTTTTGCTCTAGGTCATGTGCACTCACCAAAGAGCCTGAAACAAAAAGCAAGAAATCACCCCTCAGGGCGAGTGGCCACGCTACAATCCCTTCTTCTCCAGTCTGCTCTCAGAATTTTGGGCACATAAGCACACGCGCCCAGCATGAGTTTTAAGCCACCAGGTCTGGGACTCAAACCATAGTCAATTACGTGGGAGTCTAGCAACATAACCGTTACACCATCTGCTGTTCCCAGGAATGGTATTTTTTCTAAATCAGCAGACACTGGGTACTTTAATTCAAGCAATACCTATAGAATTATGGAGGAAGAACACCAAGCAGCCCGAGAATAAATGAGTGTATTAAAAACATACATCCAACTTTGTTGCTTCTAGAAACCCCACCAGAAATACAGAAAAGGGATTAATTTTATAAGTTCACAAGGGCAGGGAGCACAGAAAAAGAGACAACAACACGACTTGGGAAACTGGAAAGCTGCTAGATGACTTAACAGGGCTCAATAGCTGAACCCTAAACAGTAGGGGATGTTGAAAATCAAACAATCCCAAACAGTCCTCAAAAGGCATAGGTGTTGATGGCCGGGAACCCCTGGAATGGGAATAAAGAGGAGGCAACCAGAGTAAGGATGGGGTGCATCTTTGGGTGCCTGACTTCTCTAACTAGGCAGAAGTCTGGAATATCATTTTCTGGACAGAATAAAACAGAGGGCCTTTGGCTGGTGGCAGAGGGTATGTGTGTTGGGGTGTGAACATACAAAGGCATTCTTAAGGACCAAGCAGGGGTGGGAAATACACTGAATGCTGAGACATCCCTCCTACTCTTCCCTCTCCCACCCCTTTTTATATGCTCAGTTCCTAAATTGCTGGCAGCCAGCCCTTAATCCTTCAGGCAGGAGACTGAAAGAGTATTCTCTGTGAAAACAGACCAAACCTGGGATAGACTGAGCTGAGATACTAATACCAGGAATTTTTAGCCAACAGCAGCCCAGCTAGATCTACGGAGAAGTTCCGGGAACACCAGGCCAATCCCTATGTTAAGAGCTCCTGATCCACACAAGCAGACAACCTAGGCCTGACAGACATCTACAGAAATCCTTTAACCCTAAAGACAGAAATTAAAACAAGGAGAAAGGATCTTAGAAAATGAACATACAAGGAGAAAAAAATATTGCCATCAACAATATTCTCTGAGAGCGACTGTACCCACTAATAATGATTATAATATCCAAAACAAAGAAACAATTCAGAAAAATAATAGCTCTTTGAAATTAAACACTTGTTAGCAACACTTTTAAAACTAAGAATTTGAGGATAAAGCTGAGGAAATCTATAAGTAGAAAAACAAAAGGTAAAAAAGAGATGGAAGCTGGAAAGAAAGGGTAAGATTTTAAAAAGTGTCCCATAGAAGGCCATAACAATGATACTATTATTCTTATTATTATATATAACTTCTACCTGAATAATCAGAGGAGAGAGCAAATGAGGAGGAGGAAATGATCAACTAAATGACTCAGAAGAATTTCCAGGCTGGCCCCGTAATGCAGTAGTAGTAGGCACAGTGCACAGGACGCCAGATCTCATACGGCTGACCAAGGTTCAAGTTCCAGCCCCATCACCTACATGCCAAGAGCGTGTGCACGTGCCCAGAATTCTGATGGAAGGAAGAACTGGAGAGAAAAAGGACTGCAGTAAGACTGTGCACCACTGAGAGGTGCTTTCTCTCTCTCTCTCTTTCTCTTTCTCATGCAAATGCATGTGTATCTCCACTAGCATTATAAGAAGAAAGAGGGAGAGAGAGAGAGAGAGAGAAAGAGAGAGAGAAGGAGGGAGGGGGGAGGAAGGAAGGAAGGAAGAAAAAGAAGAAAAGAAAAGATTTCTAGGTCTCTAGGGCACGAGCTTCCAGGTTAAAAGATCAGGAATGAAAACCACCTCAGAACTCTCAGTAATAACACTGGGAGGCAAAGGAGAGTGGGGCAATGCCTTGTAAGTTCTGAAGGAACATTACTTCCAATCTTGAATTCTGTCCTCAGCTCAACCACTAATCAAGGGAAAGGGCAGAACAAAGAGTGAACTCCTGAAATATGCACTTTCAAACTCTCAGGAAGCTATGAGATGACGTGCTCTGTTAAAGGAAGTAAACTGGGAGACAGGAAACGGGGGACAGACAACAGGAATCCCCAGGGTGATGGCTGAGCACACACCTAGGGGACCTCCAGACATGACAGCTGAGACTCCCTCAGTGGAATAGCTGAGGGATGAAGATTTTGAGAGGAGGTTTACAGACAATTAGGGGGTGGAATATTTATGAAATAATACTGATAAACCGATCAACTATGATAAGAAAACAAAAAGCACAGAAAACAGTGGTCTGGGTTCATTCTAAGGCTCAGCTCTGAATAGCAAACTTAGTCAAAACAAAGTAAATAAAGAGTATTGATAACCAAAATCATGTTAGAAAGATGAGAGGAATTAGAGGGAGTGAGTGTGTGTGTGTGTGTGTGTGTGTGTGTTGGGGAGAAGAGGATTGTAAAAGGAAAGACAATTAAGTCTTTATTTTCCTTAACAGGAAGTCAAAAGATAATATCTAAAACTGAAAAATCAAGAATTATCAGTACATGCTTTTTTATAAATATGGAAGTAAAAGAAATGAAAAGAGTTACATACTGTTGTCCTTGGGAAATGGGAAGAAGTGCTGGGATTGCCATTTTTCTGAACAAACCTTGTAGAACAAGTTGTCATTAAATTATGTGAATGAATGAATAAATAAATAAACAAAAAGTGAATAGTGTATGAAGGATAAAATAGAGAAAGCCTGAGTAGGCAACTCTGAAAGAGCCTGAGTGAAAGCGGGGAGAGATACAGAGGAGCAGATGCAGACGGGTGTGGATGATGAGGTTTGATGATACAGGAGATAACAGATCAGGGTCACGCACTGGTGCTCAAGATCCAGTGGAATGGAGGAAGCAAGAGAAAGGAAGGAAGGAGTCTCCCATTAACAAATTGGCCTCTCCTGGAAGCAGAGTGTTGCTGCCAGGAGTGCAGGGCTGGGACAGTTTGCAGACTGGGTTATAGAAGTTTCTCTTTTTGGTGGCGTGGAGGTTGGGGACTGGACTCCCACATAACCAACTGTGGTTTGAGTCCTGGACCTGGCAACTTGCTTTAACTCTCTCTCTCTATGAGATGACGTGCTCTGTTAAAGGAAGTAAACTGGGAGACAGGAAACGGGGGACAGACAACAGGAATCCCCAGGGTGATGGCTGAGCACACACCTAGGGGACCTCCAGACATGACAGCTGAGACTCCCTCAGTGGAATAGCTGAGGGATGAAGATTTTGAGAGGAGGTTTACAGACAATTAGGGGGTGGAATATTTATGAAATAATACTGATAAACCGATCAACTATGATAAGAAAACAAAAAGCACAGAAAACAGTGGTCTGGGTTCATTCTAAGGCTCAGCTCTGAATAGCAAACTTAGTCAAAACAAAGTAAATAAAGAGTATTGATAACCAAAATCATGTTAGAAAGATGAGAGGAATTTGAGGGAGTGAGTGTGTGTGTGTGTGTGTGTGTGTGTGTGTTGGGGAGAAGAGGATTGTAAAAGGAAAGACAATTAAGTCTTTATTTTCCTTAACAGGAAGTCAAAAGATAATATCTAAAACTGAAAAATCAAGAATTATCAGTACATGCTTTTTTATAAATATGGAAGTAAAAGAAATGAAAAGAGTTACATACTGTTGTCCTTGGGAAATGGGAAGAAGTGCTGGGATTGCCATTTTTCTGAACAAACCTTGTAGAACAAGTTGTCATTAAATTATGTGAATGAATGAATAAATAAATAAACAAAAAGTGAATAGTGTATGAAGGATAAAATAGAGAAAGCCTGAGTAGGCAACTCTGAAAGAGCCTGAGTGAAAGCGGGGAGAGATACAGAGGAGCAGATGCAGACGGGTGTGGATGATGAGGTTTGATGATACAGGAGATAACAGATCAGGGTCACGCACTGGTGCTCAAGATCCAGTGGAATGGAGGAAGCAAGAGAAAGGAAGGAAGGAGTCTCCCATTAACAAATTGGCCTCTCCTGGAAGCAGAGTGTTGCTGCCAGGAGTGCAGGGCTGGGACAGTTTGCAGACTGGGTTATAGAAGTTTCTCTTTTTGGTGGCGTGGAGGTTGGGGACTGGACTCCCACATAACCAACTGTGGTTTGAGTCCTGGACCTGGCAACTTGCTTTAACTCTCTCTCTCTCTCTCTTTCTCTGTCTCTCTCTGGTGAAATTTAAAATAATAAATAAATTTAATTAAATAAATATTTCTTAAGAAAACCACAAAAAAAGAAGTTTCTCTTTTTACCTCAGGTGAGAGTAAGGGAGAAACTGAAGGAGAGGATGAGAAAAGTGACAATAGGCTCCCTGCTGAGAGTGGGGGGAGAACTGTAAATACCAGGCATCTGAACAGTACTGATTTGAAGTCATAACCTTCAGTGCCCCACATGATATCCTAGGAAATGCTCAATAATTAAATCTTTAAAAAAAAAAAAAAAAACTCTATGCATAGAAAAACAAGTTGGAAGGAAATAACATTTAAAAAACACTGGGCAAGCAGGTGCATGGAGGCTAACATGCTGGATTCCCCCATGGCTGACCACAGTTCGAGTCCCAGACCTGGTGGCTTGTTTTATCACTGTCCTGTCTCTCTCTCTCTCTCTGGTGAGTGTACATGCCCTATACCAAGTTAAATAATAATAACAAATAAAATTAAACAAATAATTAATAAAACACTGACTATCTAAATGCTAGACTTACCTATTTTTATTATTTATTTATTTGTTTGTTTTTTAGACAGAGGTTTTTGCTATAGGGTGTGTGTGCTTGCCAGAGAGACAGAAAGAGAGAAAGTGAGAAATCACCCTCCAGCGGGAAAGCCAGGCTGCAACCCCTTTTCCTCCATTCTCCTCTTGGGATTTTGGGTGTACACGCACATGTGCCCAGCATCAGTTTCAAGTCACCGGGTCCAGGACTCAAACTGCTGCTGATCACGTCGGAGTCCGCACCTTAACCACTATGCCATCTGCTGGTTTCTAAATGCCAGAATGATTTTTTTTCTACTATTCTCTATGTTTTTTCATTTGAAAAGTAAGTATATATTATATTCATGATGGAAATATTAATCCTTACCTTTCAAAGGGAATCTTAAGAATTGGGTCATGGGACTGAGTAGCACACATTGATGATTCTATGTTCAAAAGACAATGATAACAGCAAAACACTGAAATAACCTAAATGTTTATTCTGCAGTGGAGAGCTGATAAAATAATTACAGTGGGCGGGCCTGCTTAGATAGCAGTAATGGGCTACTCCAGAGAAGAGGGATCCCACCTGCCAACTGTGCTTCGAACGTCGAGCCTGGAGAGGCTGAAACTCGCCACACATGCACACAAATGCCCTGTATCCAAGGGGCTAGAGGACAGGAGGAAGGCGATCATAGTATGACCAGATTCCATGGAGGGCTCTCCCCAGTCCCTTCACTCTCTCTCATTCTCATTTGTATGTGCACATACTCTATCATGAATGAAGAAAACATTTTTAAAAACGTAATAATTAGGCACATTTGTATAAGGTGAGTCCTATGCAGCTGTTAAAAAAAAAAAAAAAAAAGTGCTGTGACCAACAGGTGGCATGGTGGTTAAGGTAATGGATCCCACCTGGCTGACATCAAAGTTAGGGTTCTGGACCTGGAGCCTTGAGAAATAGGCTGGGTGCATGTGCATGCATGCCCAGGATCCCAAGAGGAGAATGGAGGAAAAGGGACGCTGGTGTGACCATCTGCTTGGAGAGTGATTTTTCACTTTCCACTCTTTCTGTCTCTTCCCAACAAGTACATGTGCAAAAAAAAAAAAAAGAGCTTTATATACTAACATAGAAGTATCTCCAGGCCAGGCCAGTGGTGTTGTGGTGGGTAAGGTAGCTGGATCCCACATGCCACATGTGTGGTTCAAGTCCAGGACCTGGCAGATTGAAAAACACACTGGGCACGTGTGCGTATATGCCCAAAATCCTGAAAGGAGAATGGAGGGGAAGGCTTTCTCTGTCTCTCTCTGGTGAGCATACATTCCCAAGAGCAAAATATAAAAGAAAAAATAAGTATCCCAAGATATGGTTAATAATTAAAATCAAATTAATGAACAGTGTGTATAGTAGCTACAATTTCTATAAAGAGAGTTAATGTTGAGAATAAGATTTTACCTAGAGGGATCAGTAAAATAATGAAGTAGATACATACATGCTAATATGAAAGCATCTTCTAAATAAATTACAAACTGAAAAAAGTGTATACAGCAGTTTGTATTGTATACTCCTATCTTGTGACAAAAGTAACAAATATGAAACCAGCAGATGGCATAATACTTATGTCACTGGACTCCGATGTAGTCGACCATGGTTCGAGTCCTAGACCCAAAGGCTTAAAACTTATACCAGGCGCATGTGTGTGCCTGCCCAAAATCCTGAGAGAAGAATGGAAAAGGGATTACAGCATGGCCATCCCCCAGGGGATGATTTCTGTCTCTCTGTTTCTCTGGCAAGTACACATACCCTATAGCAAAAAATCTCTTTTAAAAAATCATAATACAAGTAGCTATGTTCATAATATCCATAATGCAGAAACTCTCTTCAAATATGGTACAGTAAATATTCTCTTATAGCCAGCGTAACTAACTGATACTGGGACAGAGAGGCTCAGCACCGTCGTACATAGAGTTGCCTACCTGTTCAAGCATCGATATGGAGTCTCGGAGCACTCCTTTTAAACGATGGGTCTGATCCTTGTTCTTCTGAACAGTTCCTTCTCTGGACACCATACCAGAGGCGAAACTGAAAGAGAAACACGACCTTCAAAATCAGGGGTATAGCTTCTGATCACTCATTTCCAGAAATCATCAGATCCCCATAAACTTACAAGCAAACAAAATTAAATGGGCAAAAAAAACCAAGCCACTTACGGGAACCAGCAGTTAGCGTAATGGCTATGTCGCTGGACTCCCACGTAGTTGACCGCGGTTCGTGTCCCAGACCCGGTGGCTTAAAACTCACACCGGGCGCGTGTGCATGCGTGCCCAAGATCCCGAGAGGAGAATGGAGGAGAAGGGATTGCGGCATGACCATCCCCCCTGGGGGGTGATTTCTCGCTTTCTGTCTCTGTGTCTCTGTCTGGCGAGCGCATGCGCCCTATAGCGAAAACCTCTCAAAAAAAAAAAAAAGTAAAATAAAATAAATAAATAAATAAACAAGCCACTTACGACTGTAAAATAGTTAGCAGACCACAATTTCTGAAATTGGAATTAAATTTGGGGTAGCAAAAGAATTATTGAAACGATATGGTGAAACAGGCCAAAAAAGACTTACTTTAAAGACTTCTCTTCCTGAAGGTGGAGGCGGTAGAAGGACTGAGCAGCATATTCTATCTTTGACAGCTTTAGAAACAGTGTCACATTCAGCAAAACCAGCAACAGCAAACTAGATAAAACAAATCAAACCTGGTAAGTCCTCACTTAGCCAGACCTCAGCATTGCTACTACAGAACATACAGGCAAAATCTTCAGAGATACATTATATCTAGACTACTTCTAGCTTACAGTTACTATTGAAATCAATTATCCCTCTTTTATTGTATTAAGTAATTACTATAAAGTATTAAACAGATGTTGAGGGAAAAAATGGAAGGTAACTAGAGTGACAAAGTCCTCAAAAACCCCAGCTCACAGATTAGGACTGTCGTTGACATTTCTCTCTGTCACTGTGAATCCCAGTCAGTATGACGTGCAACCACCGGCTTAGTAATCTATCAGGTAAGCTTTCAGATTCTATTTTTGGGTATCTTTGCCTTAAACAATTACACACCTATCATGCTACATTTCAAAAAGAAAATGAAGATCAACATGAGCTGATCTTCAGTAGATCATGATGTACTTCTTATTTCCAGTAGAAGAAAAAAAAAATACTACCAGCAAAAATGTCTTCTAGTTTATCTCGGACAAAGGAAGGACCAAACGTACATTAATGATGTTGTCTTCTAGTTTATCTCGGACAAAGGAAGGATCAAACGTACATTAATGATGTCTAATGACAAAGGAAGGACCAAACGTACATTAATGATGTCTAATGTCGTATCTAAAGTGTTACATGTGGAATGCACTTAATGTATTGGTTCTCACATTAGCGTTTGAAGTAAATGGATGCATACCTTACTACATTATTACACATATATGCAAATATATAGGTGGTATCATATCCCTCCACTTATTTTTTTTCTGTTGAAATATTGTCTTGCTGGGACCAGCATTTGCCATGGTGGTTAAGATGCTGGGCTCCTACGTGGCTGACTGTGGTTTGAGTCCCAAACACGGCAACTTAAAATCACACCAGATGTGTGTGCCCTCATGACCAAAATCCGAAGAGAATAGAGGAGAAGGGATTATAGTGTGGCCATGTCCTCAAGGGGTGATTTCTCACTTTCCCTCTTTTTGTCTCTGTCTCTCTCTCTCTCCAGTGAGTACATATGCCCTATGGCAAAAAAAAAAAAAAAAAAAAAAATCCAAATCCCCTATGGAAAAAAAAAAAAAAAAAAAAAACCTGACTTACCCTTAAAAACATAGGGTATTGGGACTGGCAGTTAGCGTAATGGCTATGTCACTGGACTCCCACATAGTCGACCACGGTTCGAGTCCCGGACCCGTTGGCTTAAACTCACGCCAAGCACATGTGTGTGCATGCCCAAGATCCCGAAAGGAGAATGGAGGAGAAGGGATTGTGGTGTGGCCATCCCCCCTGGGGGGTGATTTCTCGCTTTCTGTCTCTGTCTCTCTCTGTCGGTCTGGCGAACGCACGGGCCCTATAGCAAAAACCTCTTCAAAAAAAATAAAAGAAAAAACAAAACATAGGGTATTTTAAAATAAAACTTAGGGTACTAGCAATAAAATTAAATCTATGAAATTATTAGGGCAATGAAGTGGTATATAAATAAAAATTTCAACATTTTAGTACAAAGTGACACAAAAGAACACTGATAATATTTGCCACTCAAAACTGTCATGGCAAACTCATTTAAGAAGAATATAAAAATCTTTTATAAAACTTAAAGGAACAAATATTTCTGATGTTCTGAAATCTATAATTAGAAAAAAAAGAAAGTTGATTTAAGAGCTTCATTCTAGAAAATTCTCACCCAGAGCGTATCGGTCAGAACCAATTCAATTAAATGTAAAGGATTACCTCAAGCATCACATAAAGCCATTTAGATATTAGTACGCTAAATATCACTGGCTAAGCAGATTCCTAGTAAAATACCCTGAGATTCAGACTAATTCACCCAGGATTTCTTACAAAGTGATGCTCAGATCACTTGTACCAAAATAAGCCTGACAGTTTTTTTTTTTTTTTTTTTTTGAGAGAGAGAGCTTTTTGCTACAGGGCGTGTGCTCCCCAGAAAGACAGAGAGAGACAGAGAGATAGAAGGTGAGAAGTCATCCCCCAGGGGGGATGGCCACGCCACAATCCCTTCTCCTTCATTCTCCTCTCAGGATCTTGGGCACGCACGCACACGCACCCGGAGTGAGTTTAAGCCACCGGGTCCGGGATGCGAACCGCAGTCGACTACATGGGAGTTCAGCGACATAGCCATTACGCTAACTGCTGGTCCCGAAAGATGTATTTTTAAAAAGTGATTCTTGATCCCTACTCAGGACTTACTGAGTCAAACTTGGAGATGGGGGCTAAGAAATCCATTTTACCAAGCACCCCAAGTGATTCTTATGCATAGTAAAGGTAAGAACCACTGGTCTAATCAAATAGAGTAAAACATTCTTACAGAGACTTCTCCAGAATGTATATAAATATTCCCTTTAAATGTACAGGACTTTCCACAGCAACCTATGATGACAAAAATAAATCAGATTAGTTAAAAAGAGAAACATCTGGGGCCAGCAGGTGACATGGTGAAAGCGCTGGACTCCCACATGGCCCACTGCAGTTCAAGTCCTGACCCTGGCAGCTTGCTTTCTCTTTCTCTCTCTTTCTCTGGTGAGTACACGTGCTCTAAAGCAAATTAAAAAACAATAACAACAATAATAATAAATAAAATAAAATAATTCTTTTTAAAAATAGAGAAATAGAAACATAAATTGACTATATGCTTTTGTTTGTTTGTTTGTTTTTGGGGAGGTTTTTGCTATAGGGCACGTGCACATGCCAAAAAGACAGAGAGAGACAGAAAGACAGAAAGCGAGAAATCATCCCCTGGGGGGATGGCCACGCCGCAATCCCTTCTCCTCCATTCTCCTCTTGGGATCTTGGGTACGCACGTACACATGCCCAATGTGAGTTTAAGCCACTGGGGCTGGGACTCGAACCACAGTCGACTATGTGGGAGTCCAGTGACACAGTCATTACGCCAACTGCTGGTTCCGAATGTATACTTTGTATTCCCTTTTGATTTTTTCCAAAAATCATACATCAAATACTCTCAGACTGAAATCTATAAAATTGCTGTTTTTGAAAGATAATGTTAGTCAAACAGTGGCAATTTCTACACAGTAACATACAGATACACTTAAATTATTTTGGAAACTAGTGAAAGACAAATGACAAAAGCAAAATAAGCATTCACAACAGATACTTACAAAATACTCATTACTACAATAAGAGCCATGTTATAACTTTCTGTTTCCTTTTTCTTTCCTACAGATCATAAGAAAAAGGCTGGATTAGAAGGAGCACTGTGTTTACAACTATATAAACTTCAAATTCACTTGAAAAGAACTGGAAAAGAAAAATTTTAAGTTATTTGTAAAGACAACATGATTTAGGATGAGTTCTCAGTACATCTTTTTTGATTTGATACCCTCAGTGCTATGAAATAAATCTACAAAGAGAAAACAAATAGCCATCCTTCAGCTTTGGCTTTTATTACAAACTAATTCACTCTCAACTTTAAAAAGCAATTCGATACACCATACATGCGATCTAGCTCACTACCAACCCTGCAGATAATATTTGAGCTGGGTTTATGTATAATGTGTCTCTCTAAAAAATCCTCACCTATTCACTGGTACCCAAATCTCTAAATTCCAAAATTAAAAACCCATTCATTCTAAGGAGTGGACAAACATAGTCATACTAAGATACAAGGCCTCAGAAGAAGACCTGAGAATGTAGGACAGCTTCATAGCTCTGAGAGAAAAGGAGTAACAGTAGAAGCAAGATGTCTTTGAGATTGAGAGAAAGGAAAATAAAAGTCAGATTCCAGGGACCAGCAGTTAACGTAATCGCTATGTCACTGGACTCCCATGTACTCGACTGCGGTTCACGTCCCGGACCCGGTGGCTTAAAACTCACGCCGGGCGTGTGTGCGTGTGTGCCCAAGATCCCAAGAGGAGAATGGAGGAGAAAGGACTGCAGCGTGGTCATCCCCCCTGGGGGGTGATTTCTCGCTTTCTGTCTCTCTGTCTCTCTCTGTCTGTCTGGCGAGCACATGCGCCCTATAGCAAAAAAAAACTCTCAAAAAAAAAAAAAAGTCAAATTCCATCTCTGCTGGGCTTGTCCTCACCGTACATGCAGATTAAAGGTAGAAACCAAATGCCTATAAATGCTGGGTAAGAAATAAGGGAGCAACGTAGGCGAGACCTAGGGAGAGCATGACTATGTGGGGGCCTGGGAGCCGGGCACCCGCTCAGCCTCACAGGGCAGCTTCTATGCAGTGCCCACTGCCGTTTCCGAAGGCTGCCAGCTCCAAGTGCTCATATACAAATGTCCAACTTTTAAAATGCCATGCAGATCAAATAAAATATTTGTTGGCTGTATGTCTTTGTGCTTCTTTATACTTAAATATTAGTTATCTTTGAGGAACTCAGAGTATGATAAACATTGTCAAAAATAAAGGGAGAGCAGCCGTCCCTGTGGCACGGTGGTTAAGCAGTCTGCATCGGGAGCTGGACCCCACGTAGCTGACTGCAGCTTGAATCCTGGCCTGGCAGTTTGGAAAACACAGGACACATGTGTGTGCATACCCACAATCCTAAGGGGATGGTGAAACGGAAGAAAAAGAATTGTGGCAGGATCCTGCCCCACTGAGGGGGATTCTCTCTCCTCTCTCTCTCTTTCTTGTTAATACATGTGCCCTCAGGCAATTTAAAAAAATAAAGGGGGGGAGGAGGAGGAAAGGAGAGAAAGGGAGCCCTCCCCATGGACATAAACAAGAGGCACATTCTGCTTTGCACAACTGAACTGAAATCCCCCATCTCGGTTTACCGACAGGTACCTGTAATACCCCCTTTGACCTCTAAGCCGGTATCCCCAGAAGAATGCTGACAAGAAAGCTTAGGAACTGTTTCTGCTGCTCGGTTGAATGTTCGCCTTCTCCTTCTCAGGCCGCTAAGTTTTCCAGGGTCTTCGATGGACTGATTTAACATAGACTCTTCCAGTAACAAATCCGATTCTAAGATGGAAAAACAGGCATCTTTACACAGTGGGGAAAACTCAGCTGTAAGGTACAAGGGTTTTCTGGTGACTGTTTTGTTTCTTTAAGCCGTGGTCACGTACTTTATGCCTTAGGTTCTTATGGTCTAGATTCAAACTTTACTGTTAATGAAAAGCTTTAGAGAGTACAATGACCCCATAATGAGGTTTCATTCTTCTAGGAAGAATGTGTATTAATAAATGATGGGCCCATCAGAGCAAATTTGCCATATTAAATATTAATGAAATGGTTTCAGTTATGGAAACAAGAGGTTGTCCACTTACACTGCTCATTAGAAAGACTCCAAGCTAGGTTACAGCCTCAGAGGAAGGAGCATGCAATGTTCTAATTTTCAACGAGGGTTTGCAAGAAAGGAAGCACTAGTGAAATAAATCTATAAACAATCTAAAACCTCATTTCTTATCATTTGTTTCAAACTTTTCCTTCACCATATTTCTTATTAGAACTCATTATCCAGTGACCAAACTACTTGGGGGGGGCTTCATTTTCTCTGCTCCTACTGAGTTTAGAAATGAAACAGTCAAAGGAGAAAGGCAGGAAAAGTAATCGACAGACTAGATGATAAAGCATTAAATTACTCTTTAGCCAAAGGACCGCCAGTTTTTCTTCAACTAAAATTAATATGTTCCTATATGTATTTATTTATTTCCTTTGTGTAAATGTTAAGAAATATCTGAACAAAACAGCTGTATCACCTCCCTAGTTGGCTTCTAGGACCCACCTCCACCAAATCCACACACTTATTGAATACCATTGTCAAGTAGGCTGTATCAGGCCAGGACAACTACATCCGACAGGGAGGTGTGCGGGCCCATGGGTTCTCCAGAGCTCGGAGAGCACTAGTGCACCTCCAAGGGCAGGTTATCAGGCCCTCGCTGACATCTTCCTTGGCTCCATGCAGAAGCAGGGAGTAGGACAACCTGTGACTGCACGGTGGTGTACAAGTCACTTAACCTCGCTGTGTTTCAACGTCCTTAGTAAACTGGGGAAAAAATAACCATACCCACTTCACAGGCTTGGTACAAGTCTAAAAAGAGTATCTATAAATCACACAGAACTTTATTATATGTCTGGCATATCATTTACATTATATAAGTGTGTGAGAGACCGATGAAAATGAAAAGTTTTGAAATTTTACAACAGAGCAAGTGGACGAGTTAGAACCCCCTCAGTGAGAGTCATTCCCGTATCATCTACCAGTTCCTGCTATGACTCCAAATGGAAAAAAAAAAAAAAAATTGGGGCAATAAATGCTATCTTTACAAAAATAGATCAATTAAAAAATTTACAAACCAAGCTGCTTAAAATAATTCTCCAGTGAACTCCAGGAATTCTTCTCAATTAAAGATTTGACAAGGCCCCATGGCTGTTTTCTGTATTTCAAATCTGCAGAAACTCTAACAGGATAAGAAGGAAAGATTAGTTTTTAAGGACAGACTTTATAGTTATTTTAATATTGCAAGTACGTGTAAGATTACATTCAGTGGCAAGCCAAAAGAATTCCAAGTCTTTAAAATGATAAAAAAAATTCTATTCACTGTACTGATAATGACTCTTCCATCCTTCCTTCCTCCCTTCCTTCCTTCCTTCCTTCCTTCTTTCTTTTTTTAATTTGTCAAAGGGTATGTGTGCTCACTAGAGAGAGAGACAAAGAGAGAGAGAGAGAGTTCCAATACATCCCCATGGGGGAATGGCCACGTCTCAATCCTTTCTCCTCCATCTCTCCCTCTTTTCAGGATTTTGGGCACACATGTACATGTACTTGACACGGTTTTCAAACTGCCCAGTCCAGAACTCTAACTACATGGGTGACCATGTGGGATCCAGCCTCCTTAGCCATGAGATCACAGGCAGGCTTTGTTTATTTAATTCAAAGGCAGGGTCTCATTCTAGCACAGTCCGCCTGCCTCAGCCTCCCAGCTGCGACTACAGGCATGCACATCCCCAACTGCTTCCAACAGGGTCTTGCTATAATACATTGCCCAGGTCAGCCTCAAGATTACGATCCTCCTGCCTCAGCCTCCTGAGCCACTGGGTTTACAGGTGCATGTCACCACACTCCCTCCTCTTAAGTACTTGTCATTTTATTTCTTTCCTGAATTTTTCTTACCTAAATACCAATAAAGGCTCAAAATAAATGCTAAATTATCTGAATGCCTTGTGTAGAAAGAAAGAAACAAACAAACAAACAATTCTACAGGGCCAGCAGGTGGTATTATGGGCACCGGACACCCATATGGCCAACCTCAGTTAAAGTCCTATACCTGGCTACTTGCTTTCTCACTTTCTCTCTCTCTCTAACAGCTATTTCTCTCTGGTCAAATTAAAATAAATAAATAAATGAATAAGTAAATAAAGCTAAATAAAATAATTATTAAAAAAATAATAAACCTCTAGTGGTCATACATTAGTTGAATGTAACTACATTGACTAAGACAAGGCCAAGCATATGAAGGCCATCATTGCCTTTAATGTACAGCATTTCTCATTTCCCACTGCAGCAGAATCAGTGACTGCTCACTGCATACCCCCAAGAATTCCCAGCCCCCTTGCCATTGAAGTGTCATGTGACTACTTCTGACCAATGAATTGTGAGCACAAGTCTACCTTTCTCTTCCTGTAGCAACTGAAACAACATTTATTCTGATTCTGTAGTTCTAGGATATCAAAACCCCCATCATGAGGTCAGGAGGTGGCACAGTGGTAGACTCCCACATGGCCAACCACAGTTCAAGTCCCACACAGCAGCTTGAAAATCACACTGGGTGCATTTGCATGCATGTCCAAATCCTGAGGGGAAGATGACAGAGAAGGGGCTGTGGATCATCCCCAGGGATGATTTCTTCACTTTTTCTCTCTCTCTCTCTCTCTGGAGAGTTCATACACCTACAGCAAAAATCTTTAAAACAAACAAACAAGAAAAAACCCTTCATGCTGGGCCTTGCGTGAGGAACTCCACCCTTCTGCTGACCCTGTGCAGCATGTAATTTGAGCCAGAAATAAAGCTTTGTTGTGTAAAACTCCTACTGGGAATTTAGGACGAACCCATGGTCAGAGCATAGTCTGGCGTCTCCCAGTTAGCGCGCTCACTTAGACAGCTCACCTGAGCCTGCACTTGTGTTTGGAGCAGCGGGTGATGCAGTATCTGTTCAGGGTATAGAAGTAATCATGGTAGGGGACATCGTGTGTCAGCACCTCAGAATCCACCAGATACACCTGTGCTTCCCGACTGGCTTTAAACAGTGTCTGCCAAAATAAGATTAAGAATTGTTGCACGTATGTCATTAATGTTTGAAGTTTCTTAACAATTTAGAACATGTAAACTAGGAGTCCTCGGAAATTACAAAAGACCTTAGACAGTGCTACGGTTGTTTGTTACACCCAACTGGAGAGCGGGTGTGCTGGCGGAGCTGTCTACCAACTGAGAAGGAGGGGCCTGGAGAGACAGTATTTGCCGACTCTCAGCCATTTCACTATATGTATATGTATATACAGATAGATAGATAGATGATAGATAGATAGATAGATGATAGATAGATAGATAGATAGATAGATAGATAGATAGATAGATGATAGATAGATAGATAGATAGATAGATAGATGATAGATAGATAGATAGATAGATGATAGATAGATAGATAGATAGATAGATAGATAGATTAAAAGGTTACTGACTCCATGTGATTTTAAGAATTATTTTTTATTTAACTTTACTTATTTATTTATTTTAATTTGACCAGAGACAAAGTGAGAGAGTGAGAAAGCAAGTCTTCAGGTCCAGGACTTGAACCAGGGTCGGCCATGTGGGAGTCCCGTGCTCTTAACCACCACATCACTATAGATTTTTTTAAATTAATTATCATTTTAGGCAGGGAAAAGGAACCACATACTCTCTTGTGGGTTTATTCATTTATAAAGATTTTTTTTGAGAGTTTTTTGCTATAGGGCATGTGCACTTGCCAGAAAGACAGAGAGAGACAGATATAAAGTGAGAAATCACATCCCCCCCAGGGGGGATGGTCACGCCGCAATCCCTTCTCCTCCATTCTCCTCTCAGGATCTTGGGCACGTATGCACACATGCCCAGAGTGAGTTTAAGGCACCGGGTCCAGGACTCAAACTGCAGTCGACTACATGGGAGTTCAGCAACATAGCCATTACGCTAACTGCTGGTCCTGATTTATAAACAATTTTAAATGTCTCTGTGAAGGAACAATTCAAAAATCAATTGGACAAAGCAAAATCCCACTCCAAAATTCATCAAAATTTAGCAAAACCACCCTTCATTAAAAAGTGAAGAGTGCCACCAAACAAAACATCATTTTTCCTAAAGGGGATTTAAAGTGACTACCTGCCAAACCTTCCTCATTTTAACCATCTCTCTTCCACCTATTCTCTAAGAAAAGATTTCTAAGATTGGTATTAGATTTCCAATACCCAAATACCAAACTTTTCATAAATACTGGACAATCTTCTGAAAATGTTTGAAAGAAAACAAGTCCTTTTTAACACTGATGGACAAAGCTATGGAAGCACTTGCAGTTCCGAGTCTGCAGGTGTGTAAGAACAGATGCACTGCACTCTGGCACAGATCGGTCGGACACACACTGCACTGCGACGCCACGCCACGCCGGTCACGGGAGGTGTCCCATAGCTCACGTTTAACTTGGAAGACTCAATCTCTTTCCCACGTGCCACAATAGTTATCTAGTTTTTTGGCCCTTACCCTTGACATGATCCGATAAACCAGATTTCAGTAGTGTTCTTATTGAAATCTTCTATAAAAAATTGTAAACGTACACCAAAGTAGAAATGAAATATAATGAATCCTCGTGAGTTTATCAGCCAACTTCAGCAACATTCATTCCTGTCCAGTTTTCTTTCATTTGTCCTCGTAACCACATTCCCTGCCTCCATCCCCATCCCATGTCTGGCTACATTACTTTGAAAGGAAATCCCAAACATAAATATAATTTCATCCATAAATACTCTTAAGGTACATCTCTTTAAAAAAAGAAATATTCTTTTCTTTAAAATATAGCTATAGTACAATTTTTAAAGAGAGATTTTTGCTATAGGGCACATGAGCTTGTGAGGGAGACAGAGAGATAGAAAGTGAGAAATCACCCACCAGGGAGGATGGCCATGCCACAATCCTTTCACCTCCTTTCTCCTCTCAGGATCTTGGGTGCAAATGCACATGTACCTGGCATAAGTTTTAAGCTGCTGGGTTCAGGACTCAAACCACAGTTGACTACATGGGAGTTCAGCAGATAACCATTACTCTATATGCTGGTCTCAGCTATAATACCATTATTATGTATTTTTTTAAAAAAATGTTTAATTTCACAAGTACCTTTTAACACACATCTCAGCTATAATACCATTATTATGTATTTTTAAAAAAAAATTTTTAATTTCACAAGTACCTTTTAACACACGGTTTGTTTGAATTAGGATTGGTTGACGTGTTTTATATGCTTCCTAAATCTCTTTTAACTTGTAACAGTTTCTCCTCCCTCTTTTTTCTTATCATTCATTTGTTTAAATTGTCTTGTAAACTGGTGACTATGACAGGCATCTTCTCTCCTCCCACATGCCTGGTGCTTCTGGAAATACTGACAGAGTGGACGTACCTGCTTTTCAGTGGCAGACGTGCATTTTCCAGTAAGTGGATTGTTAAGAACGATGGTGTAGGTCATGGTTCTCAGCTGGTCACCCCCAGGTTCTACAGTCCAAGGGGTGGACACGACATCTATTCACAGCAAACACAGCGAGTTAGTTCTAGAAATCTAAAGGGTATGACTTTAAATGGAATCAAGGAGTTAGCTTTAGAATGATTTAAATTTTTATTTTTGACCAATCTCAACCTCATGATCACTGCGTAGTAAAACAGAAAAAAGGGAGAGGGATCAAAGGTTAGGCATTCATCTTATATGCCCCAGGGGGGATGGTCACGCCGCAATCCCTTCTCCTCCATTCTCCTCTCAGGATCTTGGGCACGTATGCACACATGCCCAGAGTGAGTTTAAGGCACCGGGTCCAGGACTCAAACTGCAGTCGACTACATGGGAGTTCAGCAACATAGCCATTACGCTAACTGCTGGTCCTGATTTATAAACAATTTTAAATGTCTCTGTGAAGGAACAATTCAAAAATCAATTGGACAAAGCAAAATCCCACTCCAAAATTCATCAAAATTTAGCAAAACCACCCTTCATTAAAAAGTGAAGAGTGCCACCAAACAAAACATCATTTTTCCTAAAGGGGATTTAAAGTGACTACCTGCCAAACCTTCCTCATTTTAACCATCTCTCTTCCACCTATTCTCTAAGAAAAGATTTCTAAGATTGGTATTAGATTTCCAATACCCAAATACCAAACTTTTCATAAATACTGGACAATCTTCTGAAAATGTTTGAAAGAAAACAAGTCCTTTTTAACACTGATGGACAAAGCTATGGAAGCACTTGCAGTTCCGAGTCTGCAGGTGTGTAAGAACAGATGCACTGCACTCTGGCACAGATCGGTCGGACACACACTGCACTGCGACGCCACGCCACGCCGGTCACGGGAGGTGTCCCATAGCTCACGTTTAACTTGGAAGACTCAATCTCTTTCCCACGTGCCACAATAGTTATCTAGTTTTTTGGCCCTTACCCTTGACATGATCCGATAAACCAGATTTCAGTAGTGTTCTTATTGAAATCTTCTATAAAAAATTGTAAACGTACACCAAAGTAGAAATGAAATATAATGAATCCTCGTGAGTTTATCAGCCAACTTCAGCAACATTCATTCCTGTCCAGTTTTCTTTCATTTGTCCTCGTAACCACATTCCCTGCCTCCATCCCCATCCCATGTCTGGCTACATTACTTTGAAAGGAAATCCCAAACATAAATATAATTTCATCCATAAATACTCTTAAGGTACATCTCTTTAAAAAAAGAAATATTCTTTTCTTTAAAATATAGCTATAGTACAATTTTTAAAGAGAGATTTTTGCTATAGGGCACATGAGCTTGTGAGGGAGACAGAGAGATAGAAAGTGAGAAATCACCCACCAGGGAGGATGGCCATGCCACAATCCTTTCACCTCCTTTCTCCTCTCAGGATCTTGGGTGCAAATGCACATGTACCTGGCATAAGTTTTAAGCTGCTGGGTTCAGGACTCAAACCACAGTTGACTACATGGGAGTTCAGCAGATAACCATTACTCTATATGCTGGTCTCAGCTATAATACCATTATTATGTATTTTTAAAAAAAAATTTTTAATTTCACAAGTACCTTTTAACACACGGTTTGTTTGAATTAGGATTGGTTGACGTGTTTTATATGCTTCCTAAATCTCTTTTAACTTGTAACAGTTTCTCCTCCCTCTTTTTTCTTATCATTCATTTGTTTAAATTGTCTTGTAAACTGGTGACTATGACAGGCATCTTCTCTCCTCCCACATGCCTGGTGCTTCTGGAAATACTGACAGAGTGGACGTACCTGCTTTTCAGTGGCAGACGTGCATTTTCCAGTAAGTGGATTGTTAAGAACGATGGTGTAGGTCATGGTTCTCAGCTGGTCACCCCCAGGTTCTACAGTCCAAGGGGTGGACACGACATCTATTCACAGCAAACACAGCGAGTTAGTTCTAGAAATCTAAAGGGTATGACTTTAAATGGAATCAAGGAGTTAGCTTTAGAATGATTTAAATTTTTATTTTTGACCAATCTCAACCTCATGATCACTGCGTAGTAAAACAGAAAAAAGGGAGAGGGATCAAAGGTTAGGCATTCATCTTATATGTGACATATCCCCATCTCTGACCCATTTATTTCTAAATTGTTTTCTATTAATATAATTCCTCTCTCTCTCTCTCTCTCTCTCTCTCTCTCTCATAAAATGAAAAGCTGGCTCATCTGTTGGCTTCTTTTTAGAGCTCCCAGTGACTATGAAGAGAAGTAATGGCACCAGCTTTATCAAACAAAGACAGCACTACTTCAACATCCCCATCACTGAAGACAAAACTTGGAAAGACATTTGTCACATGCAGTAATACAACCTGGATGCCAGCTTATACAGATGACAGCTCAGTGTTATTGCCATAATGTTTCAATGGTATTTCAACATATATGATTAAATAATCTTTTCCATATTAAGAAGGCTACAGGATCCTCTCTATATATTTATGGCAAGATCTTGGGTAAAATTCTCTTTCATTTGCTTAGAAACAGAACAGTGAGTTAAAAACAGACTGAGCAGAAATGCAGCTTTAGAATACAGCACTATACAGTGAAATTAACTTCATGCAAACCAACAATTAGTAAAGTATAGATAATAGTTCTAACCCTCACTGTTTGGTTGAATCAACATGTGGACCAGTTCACACATCACCGAAATCAAGTTGAAAACATGTCTAGTCTTTTCCCCCTGCCACATTAATCAGTTTATAGAGGCTCAACCATCTAAGGATAATAAAATTCTCCCAAACTTTAATTAAGGAATAATTCAGGGACCAACCTATTATATTTCTAGAATCAACAAATTTCTGCATAAAGTGTGAATTGGTGAAGAGCAATTCGAACATCCTTTCAGCACTGATAGGAAAAACACGGTTGATATAAAGTCTTCCATGTAGATCTTTCTCAGGAATACTCTCTAGAAAAACAAAAACATGGGACCAGCAGTTAGCATAATGGCTATGTCGCTGAACTCCCATGTAGTCGACAGCGGTTCAAGTCCCGGACCCGGTGGCTTAAATTCACGCTGGGCACGTGTGCATGCTTGCCCAAGATCCCGAGAGGAGAATGGAGGAGAAGGGATTGTGGTGTGGCCATCCCTCCTAGGGGGTGATTTCTCGCTTTCTGTCTCTCTGCCTCTCCCTGTCTTTCTGGCAAGCACATGTGCTCCTCTCAAAAAAAAAAAAACACACAAAATCTTTAATCAAGTTATATCCCCATCATTGATCTATTTTATTTCTAAATTGTTAAGAAAGGAGATGAAATCAAGGAAAGGTAATTTCAGGGTTTGGGGGTCTTCTGTGTTTTATGTTTGGCATAAAATGACTTTAAACATGATTACAATGTTCAGTGAATTTCAGGACACTCTTAAGGCTTCAAATTGGAATTATATGCATATGTACTATATATAACTGTATACAGTTAACTACCCTACAGGGGATCAATAATTCAATTGTCAAAACTCAAAAGATGTAGAAATATCTCACTTGAATAATATAAAACTCCCATAATATATCACTCGAAAGAATATTTCAGGCTAGCAGTGGGTGTGGTGTTTAAGGCACTGAACTCCCGCATGGCCAACCACGCTTTGAGTCCTGGCCCTGATGGCTTGCTTTCTCACTTTCCCTCTCTCTCTCTTTGTCTCTCTCAGGTAAGTGCCTGTGCCCTATAGCAAATTTTGAAAATAATAGTAATAATAATAATAAATGAAATTAAATAATTCTTTTGTAAAAGATTTAAAATAAAGAATATTTCAAAAGTGGCAAGGGCAATATGGAGGCCCTAAGACTATCTATCATAGCAATCAGTGGTCCTATCTCTGAATGTGCATACGGTCAGTATAAGTCACCCATGGCTATAGTATCTGCTGCAATCGCAAATCTGTCAGCCTGAATAATCTTCCAACTTGAATTAATGCTGACTTCTGCAACAAAGATCATTGTATTCACGAGTTCTCTATACCACACATTAAAAGGACTAAGAAATCCTTCCAAAAAATATCCTTTAAGCTAAATAATACACAACAGAAAGCTACTTTTTCTGGAAACTTGATCATGATAATGACATCAGAAAGTATTGGTCACAAATGAAGAAGCCATATCTGCTCAATTCTCCTTATGTTCCTTGGACTCAGTATATAAAACAGCTCATGTTTACATGGTGCTTACTGGCTGTCAGACATTATGCTATGCACCTTAAAGTGCTGACTCATCCTATTCCCACTGTCATCTTATGAGGTAAGTGCTCTTATCACACCATCTCCATTGCACAGATGAAGAAACTGAGGCACAAGACTTGCCAAGGCTCTACAGCTCGTGAGTGACTGATCTGAAATTCAATCCACTCCAGGTTCAGAATATACAAACTTAACCTCTATTTAATACTGCCAGAAGGAATTTATCTTAGACAAATCAAAAGGAAAAAAAAAGAAAAAAGACATCAAGGAATAGGAGTTTGACGTAATCAAGAAGGTGATAAAGTAATTCAATAAGAAGTTTTAATGATTTCAAGACCAGGATTGCTCATTATTATTTCAAGGATTATGATCTATCAACACATGATAAAAACTGTGACCAAAGCTTTTTCCATATAAAGAAAGTATCTGTCAATATTAATCCATAGGAAGCAGTCTGGTTAAATAAAAGGGCGATGAAAAACTCTTCTAGGTCTGGCTTCCGTCACCCCCAACTGATGCTATTTCTATTCATGCTATTAAATGATTTGTGTCTATTTTCCTACTGAAGCAAAGAGAACTCAGGGATATCAGGTAGATATTGATTAACTTTCTCTCTGGAACAATACTATATGTGAGCAAAAACTATGCACTGCCATTTCAAATAATGGCTCCTTTAAGTGCAGAAATGGATCACTGAAGCTAGGCAATTTGCTAAGGTTTTGTAAGATGACTTTTCAATCAGGCTTGGGAAACTGCTTTTTCTGACATTTAGGTATGATATGTTCATTGTAAAAACAGTTCATATAGTCACAAAGAAAGCAAAAGAGGGCCAGCCCATGGCAAGGTGGTTGGAGAGGCTGGATCTAATATGGCCAACTGCACAGGGCAGTCCAACCCATGGCTTGAGAAACACACTGGGCCAGTGTGTGTGTGTGTGTGTGTGTGTGTGTGCCCAGAATACCAGCGGAAGGAGAAGTGGGGAAGAAGGGGTTGGGTTGCAGCATGGCCCCTCCCCATGGGGAGTTCTTTCTCACATTCTCCTTCTCTCTTTCTCTGTCTCATGTCTCTACTAGGCAAGTGGACATACCCGCTGGCAAAATTAAGAAAAAAATTTTTTAAATGCAGAACAACTATAGGTGATTCTATTGATCTTGCTCATTCCCTTCACAGAATATATCCCAATCTGTAATTACATTGTTCTAGGATTACGGAATTGTTTATTATCTCCCTCCTGCCCTGGAGAAGGGACCAACTGGTCAGAAGAGGCCATTTAATACCTATGTACATCCAGTACTAGGCATGTAAGATATTTTTTGTAACTATTTTTTAATGAATAGATTATGATTAAAAATGCTAAAAATATCTTAGGATCTACTTTCATTTATAGGACTTTGAATTTGCAACTTTTAAAAAAATTTTTTTCATTCTGGAATAATTTGAGACTTGCACTTGACTAAAGTAGACGCTATCACTTTTCCAGCCACATTCTTCTGTACTAAGATCCAATCCAAAAACTGTGTTACATTTTATTGCTGTATCTCCTTCCTTAGTCTCTTCCAATCTCTTATGTCTTCCCATTCTTCCCTAGGTTTTATGACCTTGATATTTAACATACTTACTAATAGATTTTTTTTGGGTTTTTTTCGCCTTTGGTATTTTTAGTTTTGTTATAGCGTGCATGTGCTCACCAGAAACCCACTCTGCCAGACATTGGTCCGAGACTTCTACCCTCTAGAACTGTGAGAAAATAAATTTCTGTTGTTTAAGCCACCCAGTCTGTGATACTTTGTTATGTAAGCCCAAACTAATAAAGTTAATAAATATGGAAGGGCTATGCTAGGCAGACTTGCACACTTCTGTTCTTTCTGGAATCCCAGCGCCCATAGAAACTGATGTTCCTCCAGGGCCGTCTCCCCTGCACCTGAGGAGGAGGTTGGACATCACATCTGACTAATGGGTAAGTCTGTCTCATTCTTCAGCTCAACCTATCACCCACTTCTCTTTCACACATACCTACATTCTCCACTTCGTCACTATTAGCATCAGAGGTTGTATTTTGGCCTCTATACAACTAGCTCTTTCTTTCCTTTCCTAATTTGGTTATAATAGGTGTGGCCAAGAAAGATTACTATTAATGTGCATTGAGACCAATCAAGACACCATGTATACATAGATTACAATACAAAACGTGTAATAAAAATACCATCCAGAATATAACACTAGTGAAATCCAGAAGGCCTTTGGATCATAACTCTCATTTTAATTTATCATTAGAGGGCCAGTAGTTGCCATGGTGGTTAAGGTGCTAGATCCCACATGGCCAACACCATAGTTTGAATCCCTGACCTGGTGACTTAAAAAACACAGCAGGTACATGTGTGTGCATACCCAAAATCCTGAGAGGAGAATGGAGAAAGGACTGTGGTGCTCCCATTCCCCTGGGAGGTGATCTTTCTCTCTCTCTCTCTCTCTCTCTCTCTGTCTCCCTGCTAAGCACACATACCCCTATGGAAAATAAATAAATAAATAAATAAAATAATCATTAGAATTATGCTTAATCTCTGTTGGCCTTCTAAAACCAAATAAGTTGCTTCTTAATGCAATATGGGAGAAAATTAGTATCATTTGTCTTTGTAATAAATTTCAACAACAGAATGTTCCTCCAAAAATGAATTGAAATTACATGGAAATTTTGAAAAGTTAAATAGAAGTTGACTTCAGTTAAAGCAAATCAAATTAGAGAACAATTATAATGAACTGTCTATGCTCCTGCTTTCAAAAATTCATCTCACTTTTCTAAAATATAACCATGGTCAAAAGTTTGTATTTTCACACAAAGAAAGTTGAGTATTTTGAGTAACATCAACGAACAAATATATTTTAAAATCATTTATTAATAAAAACAGTTTCTTCCTGAAAACTTTAAGATTCTTCTTTCCTCTTTTTTGGAAGCTATCCAATAATTTAAATTAATATTCATCTCAGAATACACTCCTGCCATGACTACTTTCATAATTACACACAATACAGGCTCAGTGTCTCACTAGAACACATTTTTTTTTTAAAAAGTGTCTTTTTTTTTTAAGAAAGAATTTGAGATGTAGCGGGATTAAAGTAACAAGAACACTAGACTTCTAAAGAGACGTAGCCTAGCTCCGTATAGTTAACTAGCGGTATGATTTTAGAGCTAGCCCCTCTAGCTCTTATTTTCTTTTAAATGAGGAAAGGCTGAGATGAAACTACAGGTCACTTTGCCTATAAAATGGGAGCGTCTTACACCGCCAGGCAAGGGGAGTGGGCATGCACATTTCCATGAACAGATTTGCTTTTCCATAGGTACTCCCCACCTTCATTCCGTTAAGGCTTAGAATTTTAAAGGCTAAATGGAAATTTTCAAATTCCCAGCTTTGGGAGGAAGTGGAGGTGGGTTAGATTTAACACCCTCCTTGTCTTATTTTCTATAAACTTCCATTCCATTTTTAGTCCCTTGTGAATGACGCTGAATCTAATGCAACTACATTTTCAATCTACACCTACCTAGTGAGAAGATAAACATTTAAAGACAGAATTGAAATTTTATTAAAATGTGTAAGAAATTCTTTAGCTTCATCAACAGAATCTGAAGTGCTGCTTTTATCCAAAGAAAGGTATTCATTTTTATTCAAGTCCAGTGATTTCGACGGCATTCTACCCAACCTCTTTTCTGAAGGTAGAACGGGACTCTCTTTGATCTGTTTTTTTTTTTCCTCGTTCCCTGACCCCTAAAAGGCAAGTGATTCAGTTTAAACCTAATAATTAAAAAAACAGTCTTCGGAGTTTACTGTGAGAAATTTTTAATTTTAAATTAATATTTTAATATATATTTAAGTATTTTAATATTAAAATTTGCTATAAAATACTGCTCTTTGAAAAACACTGAGCATTTTGCTGTGCTTGCATCACTTTTCCAATACTGCTCAATGTCAGCTCAAAATATTAGTAAATAATATCACCATCCTGAACTCATAGTCTTACATAATAATGAACAAATTTATGAAGAATATAATATAAAAAGAACTCACAGATGGTTAACATTATGAGAACCACTTAAGCAGAAGGGAAGGGAGACAGCAGACAAAAATAATCGAACAATCAGTTCTTTGGGGTAGGGAAGGGAGAAAAGCCAACACAACTAGTTTCCCCAGCGAATGCCTGCCCCAGCATCTCAAGGAAGAGCACTCACCCATCTCTCAAGACCAGTAACTAAAAGGAAAAGAAAAGGAAAGAAAATACAGAGAAAAAAGTCACATAAGAGAGCAGTGGGAGAGAGGAGATTAAAAGGAAACTTAATTTCACTAATTCTTAAAACGCAACTATTTTTGGTGTTAAAGGACTGAGAGATCGGGACCAGCAGTTAGTGTAATGGCTATGTTGCTGGATTCCCATGTAGTCGACCGCGGTTCGCGTCCCGGACCTGGTGGCTTGAAACTCACGCCAGGCACATGTGCGTGCGTGCCCAAGATCCCGAGAGGAGAATGGAGGAGAAAGGATTGCGGCCTGGCCATCCCCCCTGGGGGGTGATTTCTCGCTTTTTGTCTCTCTGTCTCTCTGTCTGTCTGGCAAGCACACATGCTCTATGGCAAAAACCTCTCCAAAAAAAAAAGGAAAGGACCGAGAGATCAGCCATTAAAATATGAGGGAACTTCAATAAATCCATGGCAAGTGAAATCAAAATATGAGCTTATTTTGGTGCAAAAAATTTTAGAAATCATGCAATTTTTTATAATATGCATTTTTCTATGAACATGTTGAAGACCCTTTATACATACAATACAGATTAATATCCATAATCTTTGGAATGGTTTAATACAGATATGTCATTTTTACAATAAACTTAATGTCAGACAACAAGGTATGAATGCTATTGCTATGTTAGTATTCAAGTAGAACAGCTCATATAATAGTATAAAAAACTGTTTAATCTATCAACAAATTACTTGCTTATACCTTCCATGGGTAAGATGAAAGAGAATAAAAAGCATGTACACAATCCTCCTACTGCTGCCCCATGAGATCCTTGAGCAACTCTGAACAGTAGAAGCAGCTCCAGGGAGGATACAGGTTTCCATTGGCCACTCAGAAAGCAAAATAGCAACAGGGACCCAGGACACAATTTATTAAAGGGTTATACTACCTTAAGTCAGAGGATCGACTTGGAAAGCAGAGGTTACTGCTAAAACCAAGACTTGATTTACAGAAGGTGTACAAAAAGTTCATAGGAAATATATATTATAAAAAACTATGTGTGGGGGCTGGCAGGTGGTTGGTGGTTAAAGGCATTAGACTCCCACATGGCTGACTGTGCTTTGAGTCCCCGATCTCTCTCTCTCTCTCTCTTTCTGTCTGTCTCTCTCTGGTCAAAACTAAAAAACAATGATAATAAACAATTCTTTAAAAATATGTGTGGACTTAACAAAAAAGGTTAAAACCTTTTTTGCAAAAAATAAACTTGCACTTTCATTCCATTCTCCATAAGCTTTTGGAAATCCGTTCATATTAGGGCATCCTATACTTGTAAAGCAACATGCTTACTTACCTGACCCAGGGCCTCTTTAACAAGTGCTAAGTCTCTCTGTTGCTCCATACTTACCTTTCTCCTTATGTTACTAATTACGTTTCATGCTATAATGAATATATATAAATACTTACAAGAGAAGTAATAGTCATTATTTTTCATCAGTTGGGATATAAGTAATTTTGATTTCTCTGTATATTCTTCTATATTTCATTAATTTTTTACAGAGTATTACTTGTATAACTTTTAAAAATCATTTTTGGGACCAGCTGATGGCGTAATGGTTACGTGGCTGGACTCCCATGTAACTGACTACAGTTTGAGTCCCAAACCAGATGGCTTAAAACTTACACCAGGCACGTGTACATGTATGTGCGTACCCAAAATCCCGAGAGGAGAGGGAATTGAAGAGGGGTCATCCCTCTTGGGGCGGGGGATGATTTCTCGCTTTCAGTCTCTATCTCCTCAGCAAGTGTATGTACCCTATAGCAAAAATGTCTCTTAAAAATTTTTTTCATGTTGGAAAAAGATTATTTCTGAATTTTTGTTATTCACAACTTCATTAAAGTGAAAATGAAGTAGACTGGCATACGATATTTGTGTAAGAATCTCACCATATTGCTCTTGAATGTAAAAGGAAAAAAGGGATCAAACGTTTAGATTATATCTCATAACCTGAAAGCATCTGTATTACACATCAGTGAGTGTATAGTCAATCTTAAAACGCTGTGATTCTTCTGCATTCTACTCTTTCACGAAGACAAAATGTGACTTCCCTTAGGAACAAACTAGAAGGAAAAGCCAACATGCCAATTATTCCCCAAGCAGGTCCAGGAAAACTTGCCAGGGATATGGGAAGTACTCAGAGATTAGCGGTTCTGAGAACCCAGTCCTTAAAGTCAGTCATTTGTGAAAGAACAAGGAGACTGAAAGAAATCATCTTTCTCATTATCTCCCACGAATTGAGTGGGCTCATCTTCTCAGTAAGAATAAGGATTAACATCCCAGACCATCTCCCTAGGACTAGCAGTAAGAGGGGTCTCTAGATGAATAAATTTTGCAAGAAATCCACAACGTAAAACCAAGCTGAGGGAGATACACCATGGTTGCCTCAAACTGTTGATAATTTGATGTCCTTACACATCAAGATATCCTCCAATGTTTTACTAACGCTCATTGAGGGGCGATGCAAGGAGCTCCCTGGAAGAGGGCAGAAAAGGATGGCTGCTGGACACGTGCAGACCCACCTTCAGATAGAACAGCTATGGTTACTGGACACTTAATGCGCACTAGGGGCTGTCCTAAATACTTTCATATATATTAACTCATTTTATTCTTATTTTTAAAAGCCCTCTGAACTATTATTCTCACTTTATAATTGAGAAAACTAAGGGAATAGTTAAGTAAGTAACTTATTTAAGGTCATACAGTTATTTAAGGTTATAAATGGCAGAGGTAGGAACTGAAGATAAGGCCCTGCCCAAAAATAAGAAATTCATTTTTGGCCCCAAACTTGCATCCTGAAAAAGCTGAATAAAGGCTCTGTGGTAGGGGAATCCTGAACACTCAGAATGTGGTTTCTAAATACCATTCTTTATTAAGGAAATCTATAGCTCATTAGGAAAATGGCTGATTCTAAGTCTGGGGCAGAAAATGCATAAAATATGCTAGGAACATGTTTTTTCTTCATTTGTTCAAAATCTGTTTTTGTTAATGAAGCTTAAGGTCATATCATTGAGCCAGATAAAGAGGAAGTCATCAAGACTCTTGGTCATGTCAGAAACCCAAAGGAGCTGGGACACTGAGTACTGAAAATAATGATACATAATTTAAAAAAAAAAAAGTGTGTCCTTACAATGACTCTTGAAAACAATGAAGGAAGAAAAGAACTAATGAACAAGCTAAATATAAAGCCCTGGAGTTAACTGGACCTGCATACTTTGGTAGGCAGCTGGAGAAGTCTCCACTGTTACTCACGCAGCCACTCAGGAGTCATCTCCACCGTCAAAACAGATTCTTCCCACCACACACACACGATCACCCTAAGGAAAAGCCTGCTAACTACAAATTTCTCTCTCTTATTTATTTCTGTATTTCTTTTTTTAAAGAATTATTTATCTAATTTTATTTATTCATTCATTTACTTTAATTTGATGAGAGAGAGAGAGAAAGTGAGAAAGTGAGCCACCGGGTTCAGGACTAGAACTGTCGTCGGCCATGTGGGAGTGAACAGCACCTTAACCACCACGCCACCTGCTGGTCCCCAGTATTTTTGACTTTCTTAATGATATTTATCCCCCTTATAAACTTATGCTCAGGGAACTGCTTGATAGCTCTGCACCTTATCCAGCTTTGAATAAAATGACTTATTCTTCCCCTACAAAAACCTCTGTGACTTACAGATTTAAAATGCTTCTCCTAAAATAAAGTAGCTGCATGACATCTTAAGGGTCAAACGTTTTGTATAGTACATTTTCATTTGGTCTTACATTATGACTAATACTTATCAGATAACTATATTATGTATACTTTTCATATACTAACTCCTTTGGATGAATTTCCATCAAATGACTCTGTTTCTGAAATCTGGCTCACTGATTCACAGGTAAAACTGATTGACTTGGATAATTTTTCATCTCTCTCTCCAGAGTCATCCAAGTTGCTTCTTCCTGGACTTCTGTAAGAAACGAATCATTATAAAAACATAAGGTCATCTCCACACAAATAAATCATTTTATTTCCTGAGTCCTGTTCTATTATAAACCATTTCGACAAATGGATTATTATAATGAAACAAATAAGCCTCTACTTATTTTTATAAAGGATTATTTTATTAAACTTTATTTATTATTTTTATTTTTTAATTGGACCAGAGAAAGACAGAGAGAGGGAAAGTGAGAAAGCAAGCCACAAGGCCCAGGATGCAAACCGCAGTTGGTCATGCAGGAGTCCAGCATCACCTGCCAGCCCCAAGCCTCTGCTTATAACAAAGATACATTTTTTAATCATGTACAAGTTGATTTTATTTCTAGAAGATATGCTCACATGAGTTCTACCATTTCAGAAACCAGAAAAATTAAGCAAAGAACAAGTGCCACAACAGCAACTGATCGGGTGAACATTGCCTGCTTTAATTTCTGTTGTGGACAACCACGAAGCTTTGAACAGTGCAGGGTGGATGTGTGAGTCAGATACCAGTTTGTATAAGAAAGTTGCTTTAGAGTTCCTTTATTTTGACTCGGTCACAGCTAAGATGACAAATCCCTACCACAAGAGATTTGTCTCTCGGTCTCTCCCTAGCAAGTGCATGTGTCTTCTAGGAAAAAAAAAAAAAAAGTTTTCAAATGATCATGAGTCTGGGGCCAGCAGGTGGCATGGTGGTTGGAACACTGGATTCTCACTTGACCAACTGCAGGTTGAGCCCCAGACCCAGCGACTTGCTTTCTTGCTTTCCCTTTCTCTCTATGTCTGTCTGGTCAAATTAAAAGAATATTGCTAATAATAACAAATGGAATTAAATAAATAAATAATTCTTTTTTTTTTTTTTTTGAGAGGTTTTCGCTATAGGGCACGTGTGCTTGCCAGACAGACAGAGAGAGACATAGAGACAGAAAGCGAGAAATCACCCCCCAGGGGGTGATGGTCACGCTGCAATCCCTTCTCCTCCATTCTCCTCTCAGGATCTTGGGCACGCACGCACACGCACCCAGCGTGGGTTTTAAGTCCCCGGGTTCGGGACGCGAACCACAGTCGACTACGTGAGAGTCCAGCGACATAGCCATTACACTAACTGCTGGTTCCCAATAAATAAATAATTCTTAAAAAAAAAAAAATGATCACAGGGCCGAGACTACAATAAACATCCTGGGATCTGCTTCTCCTTTCTCATGGAACAAAATGAAAGGAAAGCCCTAAACATAAAAAGCGTACAGCTGATCTAATTTCCTTAACAACCAATTATTATTTCCATGTAATTATTATTCAATGTTATCAAGCAATTATTATTCTCATATAATTATGGATATGTTTAGACTTTAAACTCTTTCCTAAAAAAAAAAGTAGCAACCTGACCTGACAACTTAAGTCATATTATCTGGAGGAAGTTACAGAAAAAAGGTATTTCAACCCTATTTTCCTTTGCCCCCAAAATATTTAGGTTTGCCACCCAGTCACTCCCAGCCAGACAGAAAGGCAGGGCTCTGAGGGAGCCAAACAAGAAAAATGGCTCCCTGGGACTAGCCCACCAGCTCAGTGTATTTCAGCATTTTAAGGACGGAGGTGAGGTACAGAAAAAAATAGAGAGAAGAAAGGAGGAGGGAGAAGGGAAGCTGAGAATGGATAGAAAAGAGATGCAAGAGCTGAGGAAGCAAAAACGTGAAGAAGACATGCTTCTCTCAGAGGCTGGAAGAATGGAAAAGGACTAGAAGAGGGATGAGGATCTCGCCACACGTTTTCTTAGAAAGCACTCAATTGCCAGAAGAAAACAGCAGGTTTGATGGAGCTATCACAGAGTTGGTCTAAGAGCATATGAAGCAGCTAGCCAAAAATACTATGTTTTTCAAGGGCTGGCAGGTGGTATGGTGGTGGGGTGGTTAAGGTGCTAGATTCCCACATGGCCAACCACGGTTCGAAACCCAGACCTGGTGGCTTGCTTTCTCACTTTCCTTCTCTGTCTCTCTCTCTCTCTCTGGTCAAATTAAAGAATAATAATGATAAATAAATAAATAAATAATTCTTTAAAACATATTATCATTTTTCCCTCTTTAAAGACTAGAAATGTTTCAAGTTGGCAGAGACCTTGCAGACCCTCTAGTTTAACTGCCTCATGTCAGAGGTAAGTGAATTGAGGATTGCAAAGGTTAAAAGATTTGCCTGAGCTACACAGTTGACATTTCCTTGTAGGGCCATATTTTTGCTTACCTATTTAGCAAAATATTCTCTGTCCTTACCTTTCACTCCATTTCAGCACAGAGAACAAAGAGGCAGACTGTACCCAAGGGTGAATTAACAGAAATTCAGAATGAATAGAATCCAAAATAATTCTGCTTTGATGAATGATTAGGAAATCGTAAGAGCGCATGTCGCCCTGTTGTACCTTGGCTGCACATTATCCTCCATCGACAGTGACAAGTTTTCCATCTCTTCAGCATTTAAGCCTAGCTCAGTGCCATAGTTCTGTTGGAGCAGTTGCCAAAATTCTTGTCTAGTCAGGCTCTAAAATGGCAGAAAAATCATTGAGTATTAGAAAGTGTAAAAGATAATATAATATGTGATTCAGAATACATAGTTTGAAGTCAAAATGACCAATCGTGCAGTTATCAGATGTGTGACACTGCTGCTTATCTGCCCTGTGTACAGCTTTGTTTTCTGTATATAGAAGGGTTAATGAAGCCTATCTGACAGAGCTGATAAGAGGAAAAGATAAAAGAATGACTTTTATTTTTAGAGAGTTTTTTTTGGTTTTGGTTTTTTTTTTGGGGGGGGGTTCTTTTTGCTATAGGGTGCATGCACTCGCTGGAGAGAGAGGAGGCAGAAAGTGAGAAATTAGCCCCCCATCCTGGGGACATCACAGTCCTTTTTCCTCCATTCTCCTCTCAGGATATTGGAAACACGCACACGCGCCTGGCATGAGTTTCAATCCTCCAGGTCCAGGACTCAAACCTCAGTCAGCCATGTGGGAGTCCAGTGACATAACCATTATGCCATGTGTTGGTCCCTAAGATGATTATTTTTAAGTACATATTATAATAACTACTGTAAATGAGATGTTTGAATGTTTAAAAGATTATATTTTTAATTTCTGGTAATTACTGAAAGACTAATTGCAGGCTAAATTCTATAATCTAAACAGTCTACCAGACCTCTGTTAACACCATTCAGAGTCCTCAAGGTTAGCTCAGAACCCATCCTCTTAATCTGTAATGTGCCTATTGGGTTAATGGAAAAATCATGATGTATTTTTTCTGTGTTTTTCTATGCAAAAATGCGTCATGACTTTTATGACAACCCGATATTTGAACTCTTTTTTTTTTTTTTTTCCTGGAGAGATCCTTGCTATAAGGCACATGTGTTCTCAAGACAGACAGAGAGATGGAAAGCGAGAAATCACCCCCTGGGGGGATGGCCACACAGCAATCCCTTCTCCTCCATTTTTCCACCCAGCATGAGTTTAAGCCACCAAGTTTGGGACTCGAATCGCAGTTGACTACATGGAAGTCCAGCGACATAGACATTACACCAACTGCTGGTCCCTGAACTCTTTTTTTTAACTTATTTTTATTTGTAGTAGAGTGCATGTGTTCACATGGCACAGAAAGAGGCACTATGCCCCCCCCCACACACACACACACGCACACACAGGGCTTGGTCATGCTGCACTCCCCTCCCTCAGTCCTCCAATCTGTCAGGACCCTGAACACAGACAGGCACAGGTGCCTGCTGTGTTTTCAGCCAGCAGGCTGGGAACTCGAATTACAGTCGGTATGTGGCTTCCAGCTCTGCTGTCCAGCATGATGCTGACTGTGCCACAGAGGCAGGCCTGTCTGGGTTGTTGCTGTTGTTGTTTACCCTTATATACCAGTAGATTTTAAATTATCTTAAAATATAAAATACAAGAGGCTAGACTTCAGAATATTTGCTTTGATTTACTTTTAATAAAGCCCAGCTTGTTCTTTTTTCATGAGTAGCATATTAAAATCACCAAATACAACAAACTAAACCATAATACAGCAAAACGAAAACCGTCATATTATAATAACCAAAGGTCTGGCTTCTAAGAACGTTATAATTATATGAGAGTACGGAAGAGGGGGGCAGCACAACATCTGAAACAATTATTGGCAAGCCTTTCTCTCTCTCATTCATTACAAGATATTTATTTGTACCTACCAATGTGTATTGCTGCACTAGAAGCTAAGAGGGATAAAAATGATACGGAAGCTCAGCTCGTGGCTCTCAAAACAACTACAAAATAGTGGAAGAGACATGGGCTGTTCATAGGTAAAATTAAATAGGACAAGATTTAATTACGATTATGCATTAAAATACTGGTAAAATCAACATGATACGAGAGTGTGAAAAAGGAAATATTGCTATGGGTGCAGGAGACTGGATGAGGCTTCACAACTGAGAAGCGTTTTCAACTGAGCTGAAGAAGGATAAGAATGGGGGAATAGAGAAACGAAAAAAGCTGGGAAAAGGGAAGCCAACATAAAAATACAGAATAAATACGCAAACATAAACTATGTGTGTTTTGAAGTCAGTTAACAGTTGTTAGCCTAACTGGAACAATAGTTTTAAGCCGGGAAGTAGTAGAGATAAATGTGGATTTAACGGAGGCAAAAACAAGAATTCCTCTCTAATATTTCCTATAACAAACACCGCTTCCTTTTTTGTTTTTTTTTTTTTCTTTCTTTCCTCTGTCTGATAGCGATGGCATCTTTGTTTGATAAATTACACTAGTGGGAACCTCAAAGAGATCAAGAAAAAAATTTCTGCACTGTAGACCATTCGTTCCCAGTGTGTCATGCCAGATTATTAGGATTGCATAAGCACTACTAATACAAATTCAGATATTATCATCAGTATTTCAAAAGGTCAAAAATACAGAATTAGTTGCCTATAATAAGGCTATTCGAACCTCTGTGTTTTGAGCTAAATTATATTAACCTAAAGTGGGTGTCGTGGGCTAAAAGCCTGTCACTGGATATAACATTTGTCTAACATATAGTAATGTTCTAATGTTTATTATCTAATATACAGCACTTATTTGGTGGACAAAGTCTTCTGAGGTACAGGGTCCACACAAGAGAAATTACAAAGATCATGAGTGGCAGAGCAAGTTAAAAAGGTAACCGCTGTCGTTGATCCTAATGGAATCACCACACGTTTCTTTTCCCACTTCAACTCCAGAAGAATGATTTGTGAACTTCTCTTCACATTAGCAGTTCATACTACTAGCTAAACTCATTCTTCCAAAGACATTATCTTTCAAATACTGTTAGATCCCTAAAAGGATGGTCATAAAGAGAAGAGAAGCAAACATTTCAATAGACTTGTGTAATACTAATCTTCTACAAAAGCTTTTCTGAAATAATAGATACCATACTATCTTAAAGACAGACGAAAACAAATAGATAAACCAATGATGAATAGTAAAATAAATGAAAATTAAACTGTAAGTAAAATGCTAGCTACAAAAATGCAATTTTATAACTACATTAAAAATGTTTTAACTATTTTGTCAAAGATTCTCAAGAGGTTAATAGAGTAATTTCATTTTACTTTTTAATCTATTAATTAAATATATATATTATATTTTTAAGCAAGCTAATGTTTAATCTATTAATTAAATATATATATTATATATATAAGCAAGCTGATAAAAAACAATATAGAACTCACTTAATTCACCATCAAATTTGCTAATTAATTAAAAATGACTTTTTCTTCAAAGTTATCCAGTTGTCATAAAAAAATGATTATTTATAGCCATGCTGAACATTCAAACATTAAAATACATGTTCAGCCTGATACTCCTAATTCTTTGGATAACCAGCAGCAGACCCAATCTGCCTGAGAACCCTTTAAAAACAGCCTAAATTTTAAACTAAAAACTGACCACCTACCTTTGAACAAGAGAGGCTCCCTGTTTCCACTTACACAGAAGTTCAACAAAATAAGATGAACCAAGCAGTAATCAGAGAAGGCTCAAAAGTCAGAAGATCAATTTCTGGCCCAGAAAGCTTTGCATTCTAAGTATGTTGCAAAGTCTTTATCCATGGCAGAGCTCCAAATATTTAATGCCAACTGTGTAAAATCACTTCTTCAATCTCCTCATTTTGTTATGAAAACCTTTTCCTTATAAAAGACAAGATCTAATGGAGTTGAAAGCACATTACTTGTTACTTCCTGGTTACAGTATCAGCACTCTTTTTGCATGTCAGAATGCAGAATTGGAAGTTACACCTCACTCTACAGGTTCCTAAGCCACTCCTACTAGAAAAGGCAAGGTAAACACCATCTTATTAAAGGGACAGTTCCCAATTTTTTCTGTTCTCCACGTAGATTAGAAATGAAACGCAAACGAAGTACCTTGCTTAAGATCAATAAATGTAAAACGCCTATTCAATATTATTTTTACTTAATTTTAAAAATTAACTACACGAAGGGAGAATTTTTTTCTCCATACTAGTACTTTCTATTCTGGCAATGTCATTATTACTTCTTCATACACAACTTCTTTAGGTCTGATGTAGCATTCCAGTTAGACTCCTGAGAGAAGTCTTTTCAACAACCAAAGATTAAATCTTTTGAGTATTGTAAATGGAATGTCAGCAGCAGCAAGAAGAGCCAGCTATGCAGGAAGAACAATTCCAATAAGCACTTGTCACATCTTTCATCATTAAAGAATTTAAAGTAACATCTTGATAACTCGATAATTATATCCTCTGAAATTTTTTCTGACTTTAGTTTATTCAAAATAATTTCCTGGACTGGTCCTGTAGTTCAGCAGTTAGGTGCTACATAGAGAAAGCCGGATCCCACGTGGCCAGCCAGGGTTTGAGTATGGGCCTTGTTGGCTTGAAAAACACACCGGAGCATGCACACATGGTACCTAGGATCCTGACGGGATGGACAACTAGAGGGAAAAGGATTGCACTGTGACCAGGCCTCACTGGGGGAATTAAAATAATAATAATGATTTCCTGACAGGGAATTGGACTCATAAATATATGACATCTCATCTACCAATTCTAATTTATTGGGACATTTGAAAAGTCTTGACATATTTTTCTGTTTTTCTATGCATCATGACTTTTCCAATGGCCCAATATTTCTCAGAAGAAAAATGTTCTTCTAAATGAAAAAATAAAAACTTGCCCTAATTTCTAAATAAAGTTGTTTTATTTGATTTAGTAAAGCACGAGTAAGGTCAAATGCTAGCTGATGAACTGCAAACATCAACATTTTTGGGGATGCTAAAATCTAATCATTTTATATAATGGCAGAATGAGAGAACAGAGTGATGCAGAGAATACCACTCATTTCAATGAGAAAAGTACAGGGGGCGGGGGGTGACTACCTTCCACTGTCTCAAAACTAGTGCTTCTAGTATGATAGTTCTCATTCACTTAAACTGTAAATAAATATGAGGGCATTTCAAAAACTTTATGGAAAGTGGAATTAGAATATGAGTTGATGTTGGTGCAAAA